CTGCCAAAAAGCAAGACGTTTGGCAAGCTGATGGAGTTGCGGTTGAAGTCTGACGAGTGGTGGAGTCGACATTTCGCCATTGTGAAAAACAAGAACTACTCGGGTCTTCAGCGCCTGGGTAACATTGACGAGATGCTTGAAGCGCCTGCTCCTCCTCCTCCCAGCGCGCCAGAGAGCTTTGACACCGACCAGCCTTGGCGTTGGCTTGGGTTTTCCGCGGACGAGACCCGCGAGCGGATCGAAGCCGAAATTGACGACGAGATATTGGCTGAGCTAGCGGACGTGCCACCCAGTGCCGGCACCACCGTCAAGGTCCCGTCCTCGCAGGACTTCGTAAAAATGTCACGCATCGAGCGTCTGGAGCTCATCAACAGGCTCCGTGACAGCGACACTCTTGGCAGCATTGATCTTTACGAGCCGCACGGAACTCAGGTCGTGTCCGCCGCCGCCAAAACCGTCGTTGCGCCGCCTGTTCCGGCCACCGACAAGCTCCCTTTCCGGCCGCCCATCGTCAAGTCGCCGGCCGACTGGACCAGGATCCGGACGATGTTTGGCTGGATGTTGTGGGAGGACCTCAAGTTTGCGGTCCAGTACAAGGGCCGTAGCATCGAGGACATTGACGAGCTGACGGTGATGGAGCACCATGCTCCCGTCGCATACCACTTTGCGGCGCCTAGTTGGGACATGGCCTTTGCGCCAAAACTCCAGGCGGGGCACATCCGCGACATGGCAAAAGGGCTGGTCTTCGATGACCTGGGCCGTGCTGCTCTCCCTGGCAGCCTGCACCGCTTGTCGACCTTTTTTGAGCGCGGCACAAAGGTGCCAAACCAGCTCATCATCCGCGTCGGACGGACCATTACCGGACCCGCATGGGTCTTTGCCGACATCATCGCGCAAAAGAAGAGCGTGCTGATCACCGCGCCTCCTGCGCACGGCAAGACCACCCTCGTCCGCGACTTTGCGCGGCTCGTCGCCCACCACTATGCAGGCCGAAAGGTATGTGTCATCGACCGCAGCGAAGAGCTCGGCGGCGCCTCCATCCAATGGAGCTCGGCCCTCGGCGAGAAGGTCCACGTGATTCGCCTCGGCGACCTGTCCCCTGGCGAGGCGATAAACCGCACCTTCCGCAACGTCAGCCCGGCGGTCGTCATGTCGGACGAAATCGGCACCATGGCCGAGGCGGAGGGCATGGTCTCGGCAAAGATGGCCGGTGTGGAGGTCATCTCCACAGCCCACGGCACCCTCGCCGACGTTGTTGACAACGCCATCATGAAGAAGCTGGCAGGCAACGTCGTGTCCATGACGGTTGGCGACGAGTGGGCGCAGGGCACGGTCCTTGGCAAAAAGACCCGTCGCGAACGCGAGCGCGAGCCTGTCTTCGACGTCCTTATCCAGATCATTGGGTTGACGGAATGGCGCATCTTTTGGAACTTTGCGCAGGCCATTGACGGGTTCCTCGAGGGCAAGAATGTGCCGGCCGAGGTCCGAAAGCTTGACGGCGACGTGTTGGTGTTCCGCCATGAGATTGCATCCTTCGAAGCAAGGCCTTCGACCACCGATATGCCCCCGCCGACCGGGGAGGGCCAGCCGACCGCAGAGGGACAGCAGGAGCAGGAGGCACAGCCGACCGAGAAGGCACAGCAGGAGCAGGAGCTAGAGGAAATCGACTGATTCATGATTTGGAGTTTTCGGTGCCTCTGTTGCATGGATGATTGGCGCTTTTGTAAATACGGAGATCAGCGCTTGTGTAAATACGGAGATATTGCACTGGTTTATCATTTGTATATTTTTTTGAGCCTCAATACATGTCTAAAAACCCCCTAGCTACTGAACAGAAAAGCGAGAGCAGCTTGGGAGGCCTGCCACGTTCATGCCACGAAGATCTGTGATTCGCAGCAGCCGTGTATATTTTGAACGAGGCATCTATGCAGCAAAAGTTTCATGTGTTGACAGGAAAGTCGGTTTTTACGTCCTGTTTGCAGTCGGAGTGGACTTTTACGCGAAACTAGTTTCCATTTGCGCAAATTGAAAGGGAAGTTGGAACCTAGTGTGCTTTAGAGCACATACATGTGTGTGTGAGTACGCTTACGACTACCTGTCAGTTAACATGTCATGTACACGCGAGTGACAAAATACCACCACAGCGACGGCAAGAAAAAGTCAAGAAGATATGCCAAAGACCCTTAACTTCTCTGTGGCAACAAAACACGGGGCTGCCGAATGCATAGTGCGAACCAAGAGAGAATAGCGATACCATTCAAAAGGACGGCAATAAACTTAAGCACGCCCCCTTACCGGTATGGCCAAGCGGTAAGGCGCCGCTGGCGGCAGGTTTCGCCAGCGTCGCCGCGCACGCGTTCTGGCTTTACTCACCGTGACTCATCTTTTTATCTTGGCAGGGACGTGTACGAGGCACGCTGCGTGAGGCCCACAACGGTGTTCCCCGAACAACCATCGCGCACAAACCACCTTTAGCTGGATTTCGATTGGAACCTTTTTCCGTCAAGGCGGAGGTTTGACAGCTAACCCACCGTCTTTGTCCCATCGCCTCCTTCTCTCTTGGGCGCTGCAATTGCCTGCGTTGTAGATCGCTGTAGCGGTAGCGGCATCTGAAACGATGTCGGAACGGCGAAACCTGTGCAAACTGTTTGAAGTTCTTTCCAATTGGTAAACGCGTAAACCGCACAATCTGCGAGGCAACCAAGGGTCGATAAAAGCATGTGGCCCCACGATCCGATCAATTGTTAAAGCAGCTCGAGAATTGCGTAGCCAGCAACCGGACGTGCAAAGTATAAATAAGAAAGGAAAAAAAAGAAATGTTTGAGGACTACTCAGTCTAATTCTATCACACATTCTGTGTCCTTTTTTAACCACAGAAGGAGGGAACCCGACGGCTTGGGCCTTTTGGCGTTTTGCGTCGTAGGGCTGGCTAACCGCTTCCTTGGGTACAAATCGGACGCGGAAGAGGCTCCAGGCGACGACGCAGACGCCACCGCAGCAGGAGCCGGAAGAGCGCCGGGAGATGAGGAGCCGGCAGCTCCAGTCGTGGTTGCAGCCGTGGGCGCCTCCCATACCTCCAAGATTCGGGCGATGAGGTCACCATTTTCTCGGTGACGGTCTGCCACGGTGGCGTTTTTGCTTGCCCGCGGAGCCGCCCATTGGACATACGCTTTGTAGCTCGCCGTGCCGCCTGTCGGGGTGTATACCACAGCCAGCGCAATGCGCTTCTGCGCCTCTGGAGCAGAGGCCTGGACCAGGTGCCACGGATGCGCCCCGTCGGCGACACATTCAACGTGGACAACTGTGCTTCCTCGACGCGCCTCATCTGGCCACTCGGCCCAGATTTGTTGCATCACTGCGGTGGACGCCTTGGTCGTCGCCCGCGGCCCCGTGAAGAAGTCTGGGGTCAGATTGAACTGCTGCCCCATGACACAGAACGCGCGGCCGGACCCGTTCCGTCCAGCCTTGTTGACCTTCACGGGGGTCCCTTCCAGGGCCGACACGATGGCAGCAGTGCGGCGGATCTCGGCGGTGACCTTTCCGCCCGTCATGAGCTCGGGACGATCGCGGCGGAGGGCAGTCATGCGGTCGGCGCCGTCGGGGTCGGCGGCGCGGAACTTGGCCTGGTTTGCTGCCCCCGCGATTTTCCCAGCCTTGCTTGCGAGCTCTGAACTCATGAGGTCAAAGCCCAGGGAAGCGTTCAGCCCGTACGGGTAAGTGGCGGCCCAGCGGGGAAAGCCAGGCGTGCCATCGACTGCACGCGACCACTGCGCGCTGCGGAAGGTCCCAAATGCAGCAATGCAGAGAGCTTCAAGAGCCCCCGCTTCATCGTTTGAGGCACCGTCCGGACACCGGGCCACCACGACGGTCTTGACGGAGTTCTTGGCATGCTTTGCCATCTTGCGGTACAGAAGCTTGTCGGGATGCCGGCTCTGATGCGAGGTCAGGAAGTGCATTCGCACGCGGTCTTTCATTCCCTTTTTACTGAAGCCGACCCCAATGTACAGCCCGGCCTGCTCCTCGAGACCGTCTCCAACAATCACGCCGTAAATTCCTTTGCCTTCCTCCGCCAACGCATTGGAATGCCAGCTGGCATGCCGCAGGAAACTGTGCGGCCCAGCCTCCAAGTTGGTGCGGGCCTCCTCGGTCAGCCATCTAAAGAGATGGGATGCGGCACCCTCCTCCCGCAGAGCTGTGAGGAATCGGTCGGGAACCTTGTCCGCTACTCCGTAGGCAAGTGTTGCAGCGACGACAGCCTCGTAATCTATGACTTTACCTTGGCTGCGTGGGAGCACAACACCCGGGCACGACCCAACTCCTTCCCAACCTCTTCCCGTTGAGGATGAGGAGGGAGAGGAGGAGGGGGTGCCGGGTGCGGCCGTGACATCGCCAGGGTCGTCGCTACAACGTTCACACACGGAGACGCCGGCGGCTCCCAGCCAGAATTCGTTCCCGCATTTGGTGCATTGCATGTTAATGAGAAGTTGGAAGAAGGACGCAGGATGTTAACCAGACAAACAAGGACCAAAGGTAGGTTGCGTGGGAACATGCACAGTGGACACCTCCCCTCTTAGCATGGGAACAGGCATAGTGGACCCCCCCTCTATTAGTAGCTGCCCTCGCATTGTTGGCAGCATGACGCAGGACGCAGGCCGAGGTCGCGTTTTTGAAACGTTTGACTAATTGTTGACAGCCGAGAATTGTGACTCATCTTCACTCTTTCTCATTTCCCACTCTGGTTGCGTCGAGGCCAATTTTTTGCATTATTGGCCTCTCTGCAACCAGAGTGGGAATGGGGAAATAGCTATCGTGCGCCGGCGCTATATGGGGCTTTCTAGCGCGGGATGGAGTGTTGGGGTGCCGCAAATCGCTCTACCTTGATACCGCATACAAGCCCTGTCTGCCATTGAAGCCTGGAATATAACCACGAACAAAAGTTGCAGCATTGTCCGATTTTTCCAGGCCCCTCAGCTTTAGGAAAAGGAAAAACGATGATGCCGTGTCCCCGCTCGGGATCGAACCGAGGATCTTTTGTGTGTAAGACAAACGCGATCCCACTTCGCCACAAGGACATGTTTATCTTCCGCTCTATATAAGACCTATGTCGCTATTACACACCAAAGGTCCTCAATTCAAACCCGAGCAGAGGCACATTTTTTCTTTTGTCCCAGTGTTTGTCTTTCAGGAGGTCCTCGGCTGGGTCCTCGGGTAATGCGCCGTCTTGCTCTACTCGTGCAATACTGTTGTAAGCAATTGCCTAGCGACCGGCGGGAAAAGCTGCCGTCGCTGCAGCTTTATATATTCCGGGAAGGGCAAAGTCCAGAAACATTTCAACACACTCGAGCGCTCGCTATGGCAACAGGAAGGAAAACTAGAACTATTTTAAACGCACTCTCCTCCCCCTCGAGTTCTCGACCATCTTTCCCCATTCTCCCCCTGACACCCCGCTCGGTTCCCAGCATTCCCCCTTTGCATTCTCACTATGCCGTGGCAGCGCTCCGTTCACTTGTCCCCTAGCATAAATTGTATGGCTTTGCCGTGGCGGCGCTCCGTTCGTTTGTCCCCTAGCCATGGGATGCCTGACAACTCCAATTCTGATGGCTCCGGGTGTAGCCCCTGCCCCTTGCTCGCCGCCCGCGGTATCACATCTCCTTTACACGGAGAAGGCCCTCGGTTCAAACCCGAGCAGAGACACAATTTTTCTTTTGTCCCAGCGATTGTCTTTCAGGAGGTCCTCGGGTGATGCGCCGTCTTGCTCTACTCGTGCAACACACACCTGACGAATGGCAAGCTCCAATTCTGACGGCTCCCGGTGTAGTCCGTGCCCTTGCTCGCCTGAATCACGCGTTGTCCATTTAAACGCGTAGCGGCCCCTCGCCTGCTCGCCCTCCCTCCCTCGTCCCTGTGGCTAAAGCACTGGATGAGGTGCTGGGAAGCCATGTCGTGCGAAGGAAGGAGACGCTGGGAGAGAGGTTGTAACTGCTCGGCATGTAAAAGGGTGAGTGAAAGTCCGTGAAGACGGAGTGAGGTAAGGCTAGATCTATCCAAAGTCTTTTGCTGTGGCCCTCCGTTGTCGCCTTGCAGACTGGCTGTGATTCACTCAACAAAGACGGTAAACCCGATTACCTCAAGTCTTGTGAGGCTTTTGAATGTCCTAATCATTTGCATCTTTCAAGATGAAGGAAGCGGCAAGACGAAGAAGACGTAAGGTGACACTAGTCAACAAAATTAATGCACTGAAGAAGAAGCTTAAGGAACACAACAAGAAACCCGCAGAGGATGCCAATCCCTCTGAAGAGACAGCCTATCTGCATGCAGTTGTCGAATCCGAGCTCGCCATGGAGATCAATGAGCTGAAAGAACTCCTACCTTTCTATGAAGGGAACAGCAGCGCGGCTCGGTCCATTCCGATCAAGCTAGTAAAGCAACTTTACGACACTCACCTGCTCAAGGAGAAAGTTTCGGAGGCAGAAGCCCAAGCCAAAGAAATCCAGGATTCGGCACTTTTCATGGAAAACATCGGTGACATAGTTTCGACTTTTGCATCCTGCTCCGAATTCACATACGAGTCCTATCGTAGCGCGATTGTTAATGCGGTTCTGTCACGGTGTGTTCAGCATTGTGCGCCCGATGCACACTACAACTTAATTCCGGAATTTCGTGCAAGCCGAAACACGTCGGGCTACGAGATTGGGACGGTGCTTGACTACGTGCTCCTCCCTGCAAACCCTGAGATCATGGCGAAGCATACGGGAATCATGATCGAAGTCAAAGGGAATCTCACGCATGTTATGCAGAGGAACTTGTCGCTGTCAAAAGGCGCCCGGAGGCTCAGCCCTCCGATATTACTCTAACCCCTATA